CTTCCCTTTGTGGGTAACCCGACCTTTCTCTCTGGCTGCCCTTAACATTTTTTCCTTCATTTCAACCTTGGTGAATCTGACAATTATGTGTCTTCAGGTTGCTCTTCTTGAGGAGTATCTATGGGTGTTCTCTGTATTTCCTGAATTTGAATGTTGACCTGCCTTGCTAGGCTGGGGAAGTTCTCCTGGATAATATCCTGAAGAGTGTTTTCCAATTTGATTTCATTCTCCCTGTCACTTTCAGGAACACCGATTAAATGTAGATTTGGTATTTTCATATAGTCCTATATTTCTTGGAGGCTTTGTTCATTTCTTTTCACTCTTTTTTCTCTAATCTTATCTTCTTGCTTTATTTCATCAGTTTGATCTTCAATCACTGATATCCTTTCTTCCACTTGATTGAATCAGCTGTTGAAGCTTGTGCATGCATCACGAAGTTCTCATGCTGTGATTTTCAGCTCCATCAAGTCATTCAAGGTCTTCTTTACACTGTTTCTTCTAGTTAGCCATTTGTCTAACCTTTTTTCAAGGTTTTTAGCTTCCTTGCAATGGGTTAGAACATGCTCCTTTAGCTTGGAGAAGTTTGTTACTACTGACTTTCTGAAGCCTACTTCTGTCAACCTGTCAAACTCGTTCTCTGTCCAGTTTTGTTCCGTTGCTGCTGAGGAGCTGTGATCCTTTGGAGGAGAAGAGGTGCTTTGGATTTTGGAATTTTCAGCTTTTCTGTCTCATTTCTCTCCATCTTTGTGGTTTTATCTACCTTTGGTCTTTGATGTTGGTGACCTACAGATGGGGTTTTGGTGTGGATGTGCTTTTTGTTGATGTTGATGCTATTTCTTTCCATTTGTTAGTTTTCCTTCTAAGAGTTGGGCCCGTTAGCTGCGGGTCTGTTGTAGTTTGCTGGAGGTCTACTCCACACCCTGTTTGCCTGGGTATCACCAACGGAGGCTGCAGAACAGCACATATTGCTGATCTTGCTGCCTGATCCTTCCTTTGGAAGCTTCATCCCAGAGGGGCCCCCTGCCTGTATGAGGTGTCTGTCGGCCCCTACTGGGAGGTGCCTCCCAGTCAGGCTACACAGGGGTCAGGGACCCACTTGAGGAAGCAGTCTGTCTGTTCTTAGAGCTCGAATGCCATGCTGGGAGAACTACTGCTCTCTTCAGAGCTGTCAGACAGGGATGTCTAGGTCTGCTGAAGCTGTCTGCTGCCTTTTGTTCTGATATGCCCTGCCCACAGAGGTGGAATCTAGAGAGGCAGTAGGCCTTGCTGAGATGTGGTGGGCTGTGCCCAGTTCGAGCTTCGTGTCCTCTTTGATTACACTGTGAGCACAAAACCACCTACTTAAGCCTCGGCAATGGCGACACCCCTCCCCCCGACAAGCTGCAGCATTGCAGGTGGATCTCATACTGCTGCACTAGCAGTGAGCAAGGCTCCGTGGGTGTGGGACTTGCCAAGCCAGGCATGGGAGGGAATTTCCTGGTTCTGCCAGTTGTGAAGACCATGGGAAAAGTGCAGTATTTGAGCAGAAGTGTATTGTTCCTCCAGGTACAGACTGTCATAGCTTCCCTTGGCTAGGAAAGGGAAATCCCCCAACCCTTTGCGCTTCCCGGGTGAGGCGATGCCCCACCCTGCTTCGGCTTGCCCTCTGTGGGCTGCACCCACTGTCCAACCAGTCCCAATGAGAGGAACCAGGTACCTCAGTTGGAAATGCAGAAATCACCCGTCTTCTGCCTCAGTCTTGCTGGGAGCTGCAGACCAGAGCTGTTCCTATTCGGCCATCTTGGAAGCCTCCCTAACTGGCAAACTCTTAACCCTTCAGGGCTCAGCTAAGATGTTGCTACTTCAAGGAAGTCTTTTTTTTTTTTTTTTTTTTTTTGAGACAGGGTCTCACTCTGTCGCCCAGACTTGAGTGCAGTGGCCCAATCTCAGCTCACTGAAACCTCCGCCTCTCTCCCAAGCTCAAGCGATTCTCCTGCCTCAGCCTCCCAAGTAGCTGGGATTACAGCCATGCACCACCACGCCCTGCTAATTTTTGCATTTTTAGTAAAGACGGGGGTTCACCATGTTGGCCAGGGTGGTCTCAAACTCCTGACCTCAAATGATCCACCTGCCTCGGCTTCCCAAAATACTGGCATTACAGAAGTGAGCCATCACGCCCAGCCCAAGGAAGTCTTTAGAGACCTCCTCCCACCCTACCCAGCACCCTTCCTCTGTAGTCTTACAGCACTTTTACTGACCCTCTCCCCCATTTCAACCCCTTTCATACTGTGATTAACTGGTTAATCATCAGCTTCCCTTGCTAGACTGCCCTCTGCAAGGGCATGCCACATTCATTACAATAGATCAAGCAGTTAGCCCTCTTGGGTACTGGCACATCGATCTCTGCAGCTCTCCTTCCTTATTGGTTGACAACAACAAAAACAACAACAACAACATCTTCTGATACTAACACCACACCATTGGTTAAGGTTTTCTATATGCTAGGAATTGTTCTATTCACATTACTTGAATCTTGCCAATAACTCTATGAGTAGGTATTCTTATCCCCATCCTATGGTTGAGGAAACAATCTTGGAGAGGTTAAGTAAGTTGTTTTGTTTTGTTTTGTTTTACTACTGGTCAATATTGGAGCTGAGGTTCAAACCCCGGAAGCTGACTCCTGGGTCAATGAAGCCCTTTTGGGAAGCACTTCACCTCTGGTATTGGCTTTGAGCTTTGATACACATTGTGCTTTATTGTTTTTTTAACAATCAATGAGCTTTGCATAGGCAATTTGCCCTGATTCCCTATGCTGTCCTTCCTAAATGTGACTGTTGGTGTCTTGGTGGCCTAGAAGTGCCTCCAGCTCCCCACATGGATGTCCTGGGTTCAAAATGCATCTTCTTTGTTATACCAAACACACTCTCTCTCCTTATCACCTTTGCTCACGAAAGACACCCACAGCACCCTACAGTGAAAAATCAGCACTGTGGGGGAGAGTTATGTTCCGAGCAGTCGTTATGGCATCATAGCAGATCATGCATTCCTGAAGTTTCGGCTCTCATGGCTTCATAGATTGAGAGCTGAGGCTCCTGATGGGATTCACCCCATCTGAATTAGAGAGCTGTGATGGAATAGGGCAAAAGGAGACATTCCATTACAAAGTCAAACCATGGAAAACAACCACAGCCAAAGCAGATAGAAGAAAGAAAGAAAGGAAAGGAAAGACAAAAAACAATTATATACAGAAGGAGGATGGCAAGTTGCTGGAAGACAAACAGATCTCCTACATCTTAAAATTCTAGAACAAAGATGTGACCAAGTTTCCTGAGTCTTTTATAGGAACTTTAGACTAGTATTTCCTGAGTTCAGCGTCCATAGGCAACTGAATGGATGTTAGGCAGGCAAGTACACCGCCAATTTTAGGCACATGTTTCAAAAGACTCATCAAATTTTTAGAAATAAAAAAAGCATAATATCTTAAACTTATTAATCATTTTCATATCAGTAATGGGGAATATTATTTGAAGTTAATCCTTTACAGTTCTATATCTGGGTCTATTGGATATATCTGTTTCACAACAAGTTATTCTGAAGTGGTTTGCATACTTTTTATTTGTGTAGATCCTAATTCATAATTACAGGTGGTTACAAATGACAGCAAGTGTTTGGTGGCTATCTAAAATTATTCTGAGTATTTAGATAGAAGAGGACCCCAACATTATGTTGTGATTTCATACAAAACACTTAGCTAGATGCTAAATTGACAAACATACTTTATTCAGAGTATTGGATGGTTCAGCTCTGGAGATAGCAGCATATGAATTCTGTTGTGGTTTGAACTACATCAACTTACTTAGGCTGGAGTTACGTTTCCCAGAATCCCCTTCTCTGAGTGGTCTCAAGTTAGAATTGGTCCAGAGAATAATTTGCACAACATTTGCAAGGTAGAAGTGAAGCAGCCACCATTACTCTCTGAAGATTGTCAGGGTTGGATGTGACAGACAGATGCAGAGGGTGCTAGTGGGTTCCATTTATTCTTGCTGTCCTCCACTCTGTGGCCTGGTATTCCTCCCAGTTGATGACCTTGTTGACCTGCAGTGGTCCTGGCCCATCACAAGATACATAGGGACTGTGATTAATTTATCATTGCATCTCCAGCGTATGGTGCAGATCCTGTCTTACCAGTATCTCAATTGTTCATTGAGTAAACACATGTACATGGTTTTATATGCATTGATTTTTGATTACTCAGCATTGGGAAATAATAATACAATTTTCTGGAGAATCATCCCTGTCCCACACTTAGTCAATGTATGTTGGGTAAGGTTTATTTTACGCCTAGCTCCACTGACCACGTGAGTTCAGCCAGGCCAATCAAGTTGTTACATTCCCTTGGCTACAGTGATTGGCTCGGGGATGGAACACTACTCAGCATAAGCCAATAAGGTGTGTTGAGTCTTTTGCTGTGACTGTCACAACAGAGGCACATGACCTTTTCTGCTGGACCTGAACCTGGGAGGATATAGTCCTGACTCTGTTGGCAGTCATTCTGGTGCCACACTGAGCCTGAGAATGAAGCCAACATTGTGAACAGCAAAGTAATGAGAAGAAACAAGACTGGGTTCTGATAATATTTGAGCCCCTGGATTGAGCTGTGCCTGAAGTCAATATCCCCTGGATTTCAATTATATGAACCAATAACCACCCTCCCCCTTATTTCTTCCCCTCAAACCACTATGGAGTGGGATTTCTGTGCTGTGGAGCATAAAATCTCCACTCACACTGCATAGTTTTCAATTTCCCTTTAGAAGCAAAACGCCTTTTTCAAATGAATGTTCACACAGAACCCTATTACACAGCAAGGTTAATAGCAGAGCTCATGAGGACCAGGCCCTGCTCTCCTGCCCTCCATCCCCCAAGTTCTGAAGCCGTTCCTGATGCCTCTGTGGAACGCTGGTCTTGGCAGAACACAGTTAGAAAACCATTAATTAATTTAACCCATGTCTTTTATTTTAAAGGTAAGAAAACTGGAGTTCAGAAAAGTGGGGGGACTGACTCAATCCCAGCTGCTGGCAGATCTGGGACTGCAAACCAGCCTTCCATTGCTCCACACAGGTGTCTCTTCTCACGTGGAATCACAGCATCGGATGGACTGAAAAGAGGAAGAGGCTGCAATGGAGCAGCACACCTGGTGTGTGGGGATGCCTGGAAAACAGAATTAGGAGAGCCCTGGGTCAGCATTGCTCTGGCACTGGCTGGGCTGGGGGCTATCCTGATTCTAGAATTATCTTGGTTTGTGGGATAGAAATGTCCCCAAAGTGGAGAAGTTCAGTTCAATCCAACATCCTTATATTGCAATGAGGATAAAGACCACAGACCCTATGGCCTGTATGACCCAGCTGCCCATTTCTAGGAACCCATTCCTACAAAAATGACAACATGCGTGTGCAAACAGCGGCAATGACAAACATACCCTGGGATGCTTTCCCTGTGTGGTTTGTTGTAGTAAGATAGTGGCCACAGCTTATATATCATCAACAGAGGACTGGCTAAATGATGGCACTTGATTCTGCAGAACCTTTTGCTGTAGTCAAAAAGAACAAGTTAGATCTGTACGTATGAACATGGAAAGGTATCCGTGACTTATATTAAGTAGAAAAATTGCAGAATGATATTTATAGTATAACTTCATTCTTACAAAAACCGTTTTCCAAAACTGTGTGTGTAAAAGGGCTCGAAGGACACATCCACCGTCTTAATAGTGGTTACATCTAGGGAGGAGAGTTGGGGCTTGAGGCAGACTTTGGCCATTCAATTTGGATGGGGGCCAGAGACCCCCTCTCAGATCTGAGAATGCTGTACTTTCTTTCCAGCCTCCTTTGCAGCACAGGCCATGACAAAGACTCTGTTAAGTCACCTTGGGTGGGAGGGGACAGGGCGTTTCCTCTATCTGGCAGAGGGGGCTGCAAGGTCAAATTCCTGACAGAAGTGGTGCTGTTTCCTGCTGTAGCGTGCAGTGGTTATGTACTGTAGTGCTTAACGGTGGCAGAGGCAGCTTCAAACACACCAGCACACTGGTCAACTTTGGGGTCTTACTCTTGGAAGCCTGGCCTGGAGCTTCCCTCTCACATTCTGTGAACCACCCCACATCCTTCTAGTAAACTCTTCTGCTTCATGGTTTAGAGTCAGCTGAGTTAGAGGGACTTCTGATTATTTTATGCATGTCGTCTGATACACAAATATAGGTACACATTTTTTAACCAAACATATTTAAGAGAATACAGATGATCTAGCCTAAAGGAGCATGTAGTGCATAGAGGTGTGTGCCCCTGCCCTGTTTGGTATTTTATTTTATTTTTTGAGGTGGAGTCTTGCTTTGTTGCCCAGGCTGGAGTGCAGTGATGGGCTCTCGGCTCACTGCAACTGCCTCCTGGGTTCAAGTGATTCTCCTGTGTCAGTCTCCCAAGTAGCTGGGATTATAGGTGCATGCCACCACGCCCGGCTAATTTTTGTATTTTTAGTAGAGACGGGGTTTCGCTATGTTGGCTAGGCTGGTCTCGAACTCCTGACCTCAGGTGATCCACCCACCTCGGCCTCCCAAAGTGCTAGGATTACAAGTGTGAGCTGCCATGCCTGGCTCCCTGCCCTGTTTTGAACCAGGGTTTTATTAAAGAGGTGAAGGTGCTGATCATTAAATAGCAACTACAGTGAACTTGGTTTGCAGTGAGACGTTTGCTCAGAAATGTTCTTTTCTTTTTAAATAAGCAACTTCCTGACCTGCAAGTTAGTCTTAGGCATGGCTCCCTCACCGGGAAAGTTGTGTCCTGTGCAGGCTGCTTTTCCCACTGTCCCTGTGCATCTGCCTGGGCCTTCTTTCTCTTGGTTCTTGGGTAGACTGACTGTCCTCTGAAAGCCTGGTCCTCTGAGGAGACTGAAGTTTGCCTGTCACACAGAGCCAAGAGATCTGGCCCTGGATGAAACTAGGGGACAGCTCCCAACAGCTGCTCAATTAGTGAGTTTCCTTTGTACTTCAACTTGGGTAAGCTGGGCTAATTAATAAATGGACTTGAGAATGACAAACCTTCATGGCCAAGGTCCAAAATGTCATGTTGGTGGAAGATGGCAAAAGTCTGGTGAGAGGGATGTCAGAAGTAAAAGGACTAGGTACCAGGAAATGAGGAATCAGAATAGCATTGTCCACAACTACTGGAGGTCCTTGTTGATTTATTTCTTTGCCTTTCCAATGACCTTTTGATATTTGAATTTCACACATCCCTGTCTTAGTTTGCATCCTCCAGAAGCAGTGGCTGAGACAAGGATTCAAGTGCAAGTGGCTTGATTGAGAAACAGTCATTCAGGGATCACCATTCAGGGACTGGAGAAGTAAGACAGGGAAGGAGGGAAGCCAATGGAGAATGTGTTATTGAACAAGTTACCACTGTGGGCAACTGGAGCTCAATGCCTCTGGGGAACTCTGGGAGCCAGTGTAGAATATACAGCTCAGAGTTTTTTCACTGGAGCAAAGGGAATCACTGGTTGAGGGTTGCTCCAGGGAAGTGTTCATTCTCTAGCATTTCTGTCCTGCCATGTGTGTGGGCAAAGAGGGTCTAGTGATCAGGAAGCCTTCCGACAAAGAGTCATGGATGCTGGCTATTGGAAGTCAGGTCACATGCACAGAAATATCACATGCGGGTGGCATCTGCGTGGGGCATCCACAGCATCTGCTACAAGTTTCTTTCCTTCTTTGCACAACTCATGAAATTTGCCTGCCTTTTAATCAGTGCATGGAGACTGCAAGGTAAGCAAAGAGTTTCACTTGATCTTAGGTGATCATAGATGACCGATCTCATTTACATTCTGTTTAAGTATCCATGTTTATAGTCAAAATATATCAAATTGCATAATATCCATACCACACACAGAATAAGATAACATACCTGGTTTTTTAAAAATAACTTCAGCGGCAAAATGCATACTACTTTAACAGCATCCGAATTTGACAGAGGTAAAAATATATTCCCTCTTATATAGTGAGATGGATGGAAACAGAAAGCCCTGAACCCTTGGGGTTGCCCATGTAAACATTGTGAGGGCCTATGCTGCACTGAGGGAGTGGCTACTTGGTGTTGCCTATGGTCATTTGCCACCTTTTGTGATGAGCCTCCAATTGGGACACCTGGCCATTAGGTCCTAGTTACTCAGGAAGCTAACCTGTTAGTCACTAAGTTCACTGTACTGTAGTTTTCCTAGGGAAAAATAAGTGTTGAAGCATGACGTATTGCAGTTATTTGAAAACATGACTTAAGTTTTACATCATCTGTATCTTAATCCCTTTGGGCTGCCACAACAAATTGCTACAGACTAGGTAGCTTAGAAACAGCGGAAATTTATATCTCATAGTTCTGGAGGCTGGGAAGTCCAAGATCAAGGTACTGACAGATTCAGTGTCTGGTGAGGGCTCACTTTCTCGTTCGTAAATGGTGCCTTCTTGCTGTATCTTCACGTGGTGGCAGGGGCAAATAAACTCCCTTGAGCTTCTTTCATCAGGGCACTAATCCCATTTACGAGTGGGTGGACTTAAGTGAGGAATGATTCAGGCAGCCAACAAGACTATCAAATACCCACCACAATAGATTGTTTTAAAGATGAGGAAACAGCCCTGAAGAGGTAGAGAAAAGCCCCATGTTCCATGACTGGTCAAGAGCAGAGCTAGGATTTGAACACAAGTCTTCTGATGGCCCAACTCCTGCTGTGTTCTTTCCTTCTGCTCTGTCACCTCTGGTATGGGTCATGTCTGCTTTTGCTCACATACTTTGTAGAGGACAGAGCTATTAGAGAATAGGAGGTTTGGGGGAAGAGGGGAAGGAAAGGAGAGCCAGTGGGGGCTGTTGGAACAGGCACCCAACCCAGGGAGCCAGACTTGGTGGAGGCTGCCTCAGGACAACCAAGGACACTGAATCCACTCACTCTCCACTCTCCCTCCTCTCTGTTAATTGGTTTGAAGAGAGGTCTACATTAAAGAGCTGGAGGCTGATGAATTGTCATGATTGTGGGAAGGAATGGATGCTCACAGGTGCAGACAAAAAAACAAAATGAATTGGCCTATCTAAATACTTCCCATGAAATGCTTTCAGTTCTACATTAATTCCGAGTTTATCTCTTAAGCATATTTGGAATATGGAGATAATCTTAGAATGTCACAATCTAGAATGTAATTTAGATAAGCTAAGAACCAAAAGACAGAACCGCATTGCCTTGTCTCTCAGGCCCGTGTGGGTCCGATTTAATGACTCCTGATGATATGAAGTTGAATTGGGCAGCAGATTGGACACATAGCTATAGTGCCAGCTATTCATGTTTAAAATGTCTTTTTAGACCAGGTGCGGTGGCTCACACCTGTAGTCCCAGTATTTTGAGATGCTGAAGTGGGTGGATTGCTTGAGCCTAGGACTTCGAGACCAGCCTGGGCAACATGGCGAAACCCTGTCTCTACAAACAAACAAAAAACAACGACAACAAACAAACAAAAAGAAAAAAAAAAAAAACACCAAACCAAAAACCAAGAAAATGAGCTGGGTGTGGTGGCACACATCTGTAGTCCCAGTTACTCTGGAGACTGAGTTTGGAGGTTCTCTTGAGCCCTGGAAATGGAGGTTGCAGTGAGCCGAGATCATGTCACTGCAGTCCAGCCTGGGCAACAGAGTGATACCCTATCTCAAAAAACACAAGTAAAAATAAAATGTCTTTAAATACAGTCATGCACCACATAATAACATTTTGGTCAGTGATGGATCATAAGATGCTGGTCCCATAGATCATAACGCAGCTGAAAATTCCTATTGCCTAGTGATGTAGCTGTCATAATGTTGTAGCATAATGTATTACTCACGTGTTTGTGGTGATGCTGGTGTATGAGGCTGGGCAAGGTGGCTCTTGTCTGTAATTCTAGCACTTTGGGAGGCTGAGGTGGGAGGGTTGCGTGAGGCCAGGAGTTGGAGACCAGCCTGGGCAACACAACGAGACCCTGTCTCTACAAAATAACAAAAAAATCCAACTTACTATGTTGCCACATATAAAAGCATAGTATATACAATTATGTGCTGAACATAATACTTGATAATGATAATAAATGACTATGTTATTGGCTTATGTGTTTACTATACTATACTTTTTATTGATATTTTAGAGTGTACTTCTTCTACTTATTAAAAAAAGTTAGCTGTAGAACAGCCTCGGGCAGGTCCTCCAGGAGGTGTTCCAGAAGAAGACATTGTTATCATCAGAGATGACAGCTCCATGTGTGTTACTGCTCTGAAGACTGTCCGTGGGACAAGATGGGGAGGTGGAAGACTGATATTGATGGCCCTGAGCCTATGTTGGCCTACGCTAATGTGTGTGTTTGTGTCTTCATTTTTAACAAAAAGTTTAAAAAGTCAAAATGAATTTTAATAGAAAAAAACTTGCAGAATAAGGCTATAAAGAAAGAAAATATTTTTACAGCTATACAACATGTTTGTGTTTTAAGCTGTTATTATGAAAGAGCCAAAAAGTTAGAAAAATTTAAACATTTGAAAAATAAAAAAGTTATAGTAAGCTTAGTTTATTGCTGAAGAAAGAAAATTAAAAAAAATAAATTTAATGTAGCCTAAGTTTGCAGTGTTTATAAAGTCTACATTAGTGTACACGAACATCCTAGGCCTTCATGTTCACTTACTCACTCACTGAGTGAAGAGCAATCTTCCAGGCCTGCAAGCTCCATTCATGGTAAGTGCGACACACTGGTGTACCATTTTTAATCTTTTATAGTATATATTTTACTGTGCCTTTTCTTTGTTTAGATACACAAGTGCTTACCTTTGTGTTACAATTGCCTACAGTATTGAGTTCGGTAATGTGCTGTGTAGATTTGTAGCTTAGGAGCAACAGGCTACACCACGTAGCCTGGGTGTGTAGTAGTCTGCACCCTCGAGGTTTGTGTCAGTATCTTCCATGAGGTTTGCACAACAATATTGCCTAACAACACATTTCTTTTCTTTTCTTTTTTTCCTTTTGAGACGGAGTCTTACTCTGTCACCCAGGCCGGAGTACAGTGGCATGATCTCAGCTCACTGCAACCTCTGCCTCCCAGGTTCAGGTGATTCTCCTGCCTCAGCCTCTCAAGCAGCTGGGATTACAGGTGCCTGCCACCATGCCTGGTGAATTTTTGTATTTTTAGTAGAGATAGGGTTTTGCCATATTGGCCAGGCTGGTCTCAAACTCCTGACCTCAGGTGATCCACCTGCCTCAGCTTCCCAAAGTGCTGAGATTACAG